TCCCTTAAACAGGACATAGAATATATTTATAGCCAAAAAAGTTTTCTTGCACTTCTTTAGTCTTACCACCCCAACACTACCCCATTACAGACTCCAAGTATAAATGATATGCTGTCACTATAGATGTCTTAGAATTTCATCAAATATTCAGCTAGTGTTAAAATTTCCAGTTATTCCTTAAGTATCATAGTATTGTTTGAATTTAGTTGAAATTCAAATAAGAGCCTTAATGAAAGTGAATGAGGCTGGGGGTTTAGCTTTGTGGTAGACTGATTTCCTAGCATGTGCAAAGCCCTGGGTTTGACCCCAGCTCTGTAAATGCTTGATATATCTTTAAACCTCTTCTAAATTCCTTCTCTCTCATCTCTTCCTAATAATTTGTTAAGAATCTACGTTATTTGTCATGTAGATTTCTCTGACAGTCTAGATTTTGTTTGCACTGAGTGTTTAACATGTGCCTCTTGTCTTCTTTTTGTAGATTGTTCTATTTCATGACTTGATCTAATTGAGCTTCATTTTTTGGCGTCATGCATTTTTATGTGAGTTGAAGGATTAAAGGCTTTCACATTTTATACGTAACAATTTTATTGGCTCACATAACTGAAAATTCTGGCATACACTGCAATTGGGGACACCCATCTGATTTGGTTTGAGTTTTTGGCTTCATTTTCACTGGCAATAAATGGCTCAATTTCATTTCATTAGCACTCACTGGCACAAGCACCCATTCTGAATCAATTAACAGAATTAATTGTATATTCTAACTAGCCAGATTCCCATCCCATGGAGGAGGCAATCTCTCTAAAACCACATTAGCTTTTATCTCACTTAAAGAAAAACTTAGTCTACCATCACCGTTGCTCGGTTTACAGACTCACCTTTTTGCTTAATCTTTACACACAATATGAATTGCCTTATTCATAGACAATATTTCTACTTAAATGAACGTGGAGTGATTACAGTGTGTTTCGGGTGTTTAGGGAGAGGACCCTTAGAATTGTCCCCCAAGCTTTTCACTATTAAATCTGCGACTGCCTACTGTTTCTTGTCTGAGAGAGAGCTTTGTAGAAATAAAAACGTTTCAACTCAGGAGAAAGCAAGTAGAGGTAGGTGATGAGAATGGGAGGTTCGCTTATGTGCTGACCTTAGGGCCATTAAAAAAAAAAAAAGCAGCGCACTGTGTGGCAATATATTTAAGGGATGGGAACACTTACCTGAGGTTACTGTAAGATGCGTTCCGAAGTTAAGCTTGGTATACTTTACCAGGTTATTTTTAACACCAACTACAAATGATTAGTGATTTTATGAAATATTTGTGGTGGTGACGACCAGAATTAGGGCAGAATGAAAGCTTCATGAGAAAAGCCAGATTACACGGGATAAAACACCAACTTTGGTCGGCTGGCACAAAACTGGATTTCTACACTCTCTGCGGTCAAAAACCCTACCTACGCTAGATCCTAGGTTACCAGGCGCTAACAGGAGCCACACCTCTCGGGGCGACCGGCTCCGCGCAGTGTCATTTCCGGTCCGGGAATTTCGCTTCCGGGTCAAACAGAGCCTCCTGCTCTGCCGGAGTGGTGGTGGTTCTTCGCTGCCCATGTTATCTTCCAGTGAGATCGAGCGGTAGTGTCCAGAGGCGACGAATCACCTCTGTCCCAGGCAAAGAAACACGAGTCCTGGGAGCGGGCAGCAGCTGGGCCGTGCCAGTGAGGTCTGGCGGCTCTGCTCCTCCGCTTGCTGCTGTCTCGGAACTGGGTGCCGGCGCTGAGGGGCCTCCCGCCGACGGCAGCCACCTTCCCTGGCTCCCCTGCCCACCCTGCTGGGGAGGGCGGAAGATGCCAGTGAAGAAGAAGAGGAAAGCCTCCTCCGGGGTGGCAGCGGCAGTAACGGAAGACGGTGGCCTGAAAAAGTGTAAAATCTCCAGGTACCACCTCCCCCCTCCCTTCAGTCTTTCCTCCTTCCTCTTTCGCAGGACAGCTGAAGGAGAAAAGCAGTCGGGCCCAGCCCTTCGGGCTCAGACTGAAGAGAGGTGAGACCCCTGTAATCGTGCTGGGTCGTAGATGAGAACACCGAGTCTCCGCGCGGACCCTACCTCGTGTTCGCTTATGTGCTGTGATCTGGCGTTCAAGGGGGACTGAAGAGTCGCCCCACACGAGAGTCTCTGTGCTCTGAAGGGTGGGGGAATAGATTTGTAAATATAAATTGCGCTCCCTTCCCCTTCCCCCATTCCCTTAATCCTTCCTTCGATTTTTTTACACACCTAGAAGGATTACTTCTGTAATTCCTTTGTAGAGTGTGCAGAAAGGAGCAGAGCGTGACGAATTTTGACAACTGCTTTGGGAAATCACAGCAAGGGAAAGTATTCAATAATTGGCCTCCATATTTAGTATTTGAAGTTACCCAAGTTGGATGGCCCTAGCCGGAGGCTTCTTAAAATTACAGGACCCCAATTTTCTGGAAGTATATTGTTCCACCTGTACCAATCTCTGTGGGGAATTAGAAAGGCCGTGCATACTTTTTATTTTCTAGCATTCACCACACTGTTAGCTCTCAATATAAATTTTAATTTTGAAGCTATTGTAGTCTATATTCTCTTGGAGAAAAAAACAAAACAAAATAGAACTGTAATTATAGGTCTTTGACCCCTTTTGTAGCATTATCATTCAGCCATCACAGAAACACTTTATGCTACAAAAATATCTTTGCAATTTAGGTTTGAGAAGTACTCTCAACCCAGTTTTTTTGGGGGGTGTCTTTATACCAAGAATTAACAGTTCAGGCGACAACGTCAGATGCTGCCATTAAAACCAACATTAGCCAACACTGGGTGAAATAATAGTGCTCTCCTTGAGAAGAGATCTGTTTAAAATTTGAGGGTGGTGAGTTGTACAGTCTGCATCTTTCTTTTTGTAACTAGCTCATTTTTTTTCTTCATTACTGTGTTTTGACAAAAGGAGTCTGAGAAATTTCATGTTCTTTTGTTTTGTTGAGACAGAGTCTTGCTATTTCGTTCAGGCTGCTCTTGAACTTAGTATATACCCCTGGCTGGCCTCCAAGCCATGGCAGTCCTCCTACCTCAGCCTCCTGAGAGCTGGGATTACAGGAATGCACCACCATGCCTGACTCTTGGGCTATTATTGGAATAATTTTCTGATACGATACCACTTGGTGGCTAATATTAGAATTTGACATGGTTACTTTACTAGCTCATATTTTTATGAAAAACAGGCAAATTGGTTTTAATTTGTGGCCATCTTAAGTGTAATGTATCAATTATTTACATAAAGCATTAAAATAGCTACTAGGCAGGCAATATTGAAACTCAGGTGATACTGTACTTTTTGCTCTGTCAATTTAAAATTCTAGATACGGCATCCTTATTTTAATTACGTTATGCAATTACATGGTTCTCTGAAGTCCATTAAATCCTAGAAGTCGTTTTTTAATTTCCCAACTTTTAGTGATTTTATGTAAAGAATAAAGACAATCTGAGACTGAATATCTCTGGCACAATTATTTGGTCTATTTTTAATTAACTTTAAGGGTTTTTTTTGTGGTACTTTTTTTTTTTATCTATGGAATTTCATATACTCTTAGGTCCTGAGTCATTGTTTATCTTTTTAAAAATCCATTTAGTTTTGATAGGTGATGCATCTCTTAATATTTTATTCATATCTCTTGATTTATTTTCGAATATTAAATATCAAAATACATTTTGCAAGATTTAGTTTTCAGATGTGTATGTGTTATACACAGATACAATTTCCATTTACACAGTAGCAGTTTCACAGTGTATAATTTACAAGTCCTACATTGCGACTTTGGTTGAACTGTGTAGTTCTAAACTCTGGGGAGATAATTTTAGTTGATATTATTGGAATTTGGTAGTGAACAAAATATCGTTTGGGTTTTGTTAGCCAGAAGTTATTATTTCAAATTGCAAGTATTTAACTCCATTTTTTTCTCTCATAATGTCATTTTAAAAATAACTTTAATTTGAATTGAAGTAGTTCTTATTGAACTTAGTTTTTCACTAAGAGTTGAGACTTGATAAAAATCTTAGGCATTTGTGTGTTTTCTAAGCTATTGCAGATCCCAACTCCCTGCTAGACTAATAAGTGGAGAGGAACATTTTTCAAGCAAGAAGTGCCTGGCTTGGTTTTATGAGTATGCAGGTAATGAAATTAATGTAAGAAGATATCAGTCATATGCTTTAAAAAGTTTTTTTTTCCATTTATTAATTTTAACATTATTTATTGCAATCCTGCTATGTTTGAGTGTTGTGTTCTGGAATCAGTGTCAAGACAGGATTATGGATTGGCTAAGAATTTGATACCATTGTAGGCTGATATTTCTGTAAATATATTGAATATATATTTAGTTGGAAAGGAGAAAATGTATAAACAAACACATCCATTGGCTAAAACAGTATTCTGGAAAACAAGTACATAATAAAATATTTTTCTGTTCAATATTCTGGAAAACAAACTAAAACTTTTTTAACATCTTTTTTTTTGGAAATTTTTCTGAACTAGAAACATTTTCTGAAACTTTAGGGCGACAGTAAAAGATTTAACCCTCAGATATATCCTTGTCCAACATATTTACTCTATAATGATTGTTATTTAGCCATTTCTGTGATAAGTACTATATTAGAAAGACACCCTGAGAATTCACAGGAGGAATGTATAACCCAGCCTTGAACATGTCAGAGGAGCCTTCTTGAGGGAGCTAATTAATTTCAGCTAAATCCTGTAAGTGGTAGATAAGAAGGTCTACTCAAAATGATAACCTAGCATAGAGGTGAAAGTTAAAGTCCACCAGAGATGAGGCTAAGGAGCAAATGCAAATACATGAAAAAGAATACTTGTTTCCCATTTGTTACTTTTCATGAGAACATGTTAGAATTTTTTTCCCCTCAATAGTTTTGGCCTTTTGGAGTTACTGATTTTTAAAGCTTTATGTTCTTCCTTTTTCCTTCCTTACCTGCTTCCCCAATTTTTGTTTTGTTTTTCTCTTTTTATCATTATTCTCAAAGTTTTGTTTAAAAGTATATTTTTAGTTATTGCCTTGTACTATTGCTAATCTATGATAAGATATAAATGTACTGTGGACTTGATGTAACATTTAGACCAAATGTGTAGAAAGTGAGACTGTTTTGAGAACGAGGCAGCAACTTCACGGTTTGTATCTGCTGAGTGATCCCAAAAGTATAATTTAAAAATTGTTTAGTAGCAGAACAGATTCTTTCTAGACCAGAAAAAGGCTATTACTGGCATCCCATGATAACCACTAACCCAATTTAAATAAAAGGAATTCATTTTCTTACTGACCTCCATTTTAAGATATTGACCCATTATGCAAAATGTCTGTTTTACTGGTAGGCATGACATAGAATCCAAAGGTCATTCATCTTATTTTACTAATGAAGGTTATTTAAATAATGAACACTTTTTTTCTTTCCTGATTACTTGTTTTACTTTTCCCAAGTATCATAACATTCTAATGAAACATTTCTTATGCTAGCATTTTTTTGTTGTTTGTATTTTTGAGACAGGGTCTCACTACGTAGTTGAGACTGACCTGGAACTCACTATGTAGCCCAGGCTGGTCTCAGCCTCTTGAGTGCTGGAATTACAGGCATGAGCTACCACGCCTGGCTCCTAAATATGTCATTTTAACTTACTACCTTTCTGTTAAATAGGTAGTGTTACCCTTATCTTATAAAGGAGAAAAGTGGCACTTAGATTAAGAAATTTGCCCAAGATCATATAGTGACTAGAGCGAGGATTCAAACCCCAGATAATTGTGATCCAGAGACCCTGATTTTAACTATTAATGTCTTACAATGTGTTTTTAAAAATTTATTTAAATATGTACATGGTTAAGTAACATGACAACTCATTTTCACTTTCACAAAAATGTTACTGCACTTGAAGTAACTGTCATTCAGTGATTCATTCAGTAAACTTCGGGTTTGTCAGTCAGGCATATGCTAAGTGCTGGGGATATAATAGTGAATGAGTCAGATATGATCACTGCCCACCATGGACTTGGCTTCTAAATGAGGAAGACAAATTGCAAACAGAATTGTAGGCAAGGTACTTAAAAGATTGTGGAAAATAATACAGTAATAAATATTCGGAGGTTCAGGAATAGAGAAGAAAAGAAAAGTTGGGTGGATTTTTGTATACAATGATGAAGGAAGGCCTCTCTATGGAGGATATTTGGAGAGAAACTGGATAGATAGGAAGACTAGTTGTTTGCCCAATAAAGCTTAAGTGTTCTGTCCTTAAAATGGGAAATGTGCCTCATGAAAATGGAGACAGTAGTAGTGCCTACTGAGAAAAATACAAAGCCCTTAGTATAGTACTGACAAAATCATCAGAACTTAATAAATGTTAGCTATTATTAAACAGCAGTAGCATAGCATCAGATTTACTGGTTGTATGTTTAATGTTTCAAATATGACAGAAACTTGTAGCTCATGATATAATGTGTCACTGTACATATATATATATAAATGTATATAAATATATATATGTGTGTATATATATATATGCATATATATATGTATGTACATATATGTGTATATAAGGTCCTGAGCATCTGTTATGATTGGCATGGTATTAGATCCTATAGCTGGAAACATTTCTTTATGGTTATTAAAAAAAATCATAAAGTTTAAGGTGTTTGTTTTTTTCTAATTTTGAAAGTACCACAAAACTTGTTGAATATAGTATTATAAATCATGTGTAATAAACATAACAATTTTCCCTGTCTCGAGTGTTATTTAAATTAACAAGAATCATTAATATAGTTGTCCCTCTTTATACTTGGGGTGAAGTGGTTCCAGGACAACCCCAACTCTGCAGTAGATATTAAAATCTGAGGATACTCAAGTCCCTCATATCAAAGTGGGTAGTATTTGCGTATAACCAGTACATACCCTGTTGTAGACCATAAATCATTAAAGTGTTAGAAAGAATTTTAAAATATGGTTAAAATTGAATAGTCCTAATATAGCAGCCCCTGATAAACTGTACTAGAAGAGTGATCTAAATCATCTTATAGCTTCTTAAATTGAGTGGAAACCTAGTTGCCTGAAGGAGTTAATTAAATTCAGCTCTGGAGATTTTCCTCGGGTAGTGCTTTTATTGGAAAGATGTGGTTCAATTTTTGTAATTAACATTATTCAATTAGAGAATATTACTTTAGACTTACATCTGTCACTATTTGCTTTGCTTTGGGAAAGTCATTTAATATCTGCAGACCCTATCTGTATAAGGATATAAAGTCATGCACACATATATGTATAAAAAGAAAAAATATATATATATCTTATATAGCCCGATTTAACTGGGTTTTAATCAAATGTAGTCACTAATTAGTCCCTCAGTTTCTAGGGAATGGTTTTTACTACAGTAAGTGACGTTCCTTAACTCTTCAACTTTGCCTTCTAGTCACTGTTGGCAACTTTGAGGACAAGTCTGTTTTCTTAGTGCATCAGAAATATCTGGACTATAATCTTATCATGTCTTAATAATACCTTTTGTTTTCTTCTCAGATTTTTAAATCGGATTATTATTCTCTTCCAGCCATATATAAGGATGTTTTTATTTATTTTTAGCAGTGTTATTTTATATATATGCTTGTTTGCTATTCATTTATTTACTTTGATGCTGGAGATTGAACCTAGTGCCTTACTTTTACTAAACACACACTCTAGCACTGAACTACACCCCAGACTACTGTGTATGCTTTTGAAATTACAAATGTAACACATCCAATTTGAACAATTCTCTAAATATATAATAATAGGAAGTGAAATTCTCCTATAATTACCATCCCTTTTACCTTTTAACACCTCAATGAACTGTTAGTACTTATTTTAATTTAAAGACATTTATACTTTTACACAATTTAAAAGGGTCTTGGTATCTTATCTTAACATTGTCTTGGCAGCCTGACCACATATGGGATGACTACATTATATTAAGAAAAACTGTAGAATGCGGGCTTCATGTTGTACATGCAACCAAATGATGGTGCTATAAAACCCACCTGTAAAGCCTAGGTCTTGTCTGACTTACAAAGCTTGAGTATATTCAGTCCTTGCAAAATGAAAGTAGAGGTTTCTCTGGACTAATTTAACATTTCAAGACTATACAGTATTTCACAGTGGAAAACATTCTCTTATGATACTCATATCATAAGATTGTTTTAGTAATGTAATTACTATGTTTTGAGGGTCTGATAAAAAAGTATCCTGAGAATTGATGTATTGACTTATATTTAACAAGAGTAAGAAAGAACAATAAGGATTAAATTAACTACCATTTATTAATGTTTAGACAGTGGTAGACATAATCAGTGAGATAAAATTTGTGTGTCTGTGTTAAGGTAATATAACTAATTCCTTAGTGTTTATTTTAGAACCTGTATGATAAATTTCTCTTCAGAAAATGTAATAATTTCGATAGTCATTTCTGTAACAGTTTCAAGAATTAAGTTGTATTTAAATATATTTGAAGTTGGTAATAGATGATTTTCTATTTTTAGTAATAAAGTTATTTTGATTACTATATTGAACTGTATACTAGTTATGACATATTTTAGTAGAAGCTCCAGATTTTTCGTGCTTCTTTTATATTCTTATGTGGCTAAAACTTTATTCTGAGTGGGCTGTCAGTAAATGTTTTTTTTTTGTTTGTTTTGTTTTGTTTTTTTGGTACCGGGGATCAAACTTGGGTCCTTGTGCTTGCAAGGCAGGCAGCAGAACCACTGAGCTAAATCCCTGGCCCAATAAATGTTTTTTAAATATGTAGTTTTAAGTTTTTGCAAAAACTTTTGATGATACTAATAGAATATTTCTTTACTGCTCCTTCTAAAAAGTTTAAAATTTCTTATTTCATGTTGTAATATGTTCAAGGAATACTTAAAAAGTTTTATATTCTAAACCATGTAACAAATATTTATACTTTATTGAAGCTATGCCAAAATTCAAATTCAGTTACTTATGAAATACCTTGTATTCATAGATACCTTTTGCATAATGGCTTGTTTTATATTGATATTAAATTTTATATATATATATGTATATATATATATAAATTATTTTTGTCTTTGAAGGTCCTGATGAAGTTGTAGGGCCAGAAGGAATGGAAAAATTTTGTGAAGACATTGGTGTTGAACCTGAAAATGTATGTTTTATTTCTAAGTGGAATGGCTTATAAGTGGGGTATAACATATTGATAAATTCTGAAAAATTGAGACTTTACTTTTATATGAAGAATTGTTTCTTCATATTGAATACTATAAATTTGCATTTAGGGTCTTTTTAATTGGTTCAAATTAGTCAATTATTCTCTTGATGCAAATTTTATTTTTAATAGAGATACTCTGTTTTCATAAGCTATTAGAACTCTTACCATTTAAGAAATTGGTACATAGCAATTCTTTATAGTTAAAAGTTCCAGAGGTGGTACTCTTTAATAGTTGAAGGATGGAAATAGTTGTATAAAAATGATCTCCATGATAAGTATAGACATGATTATTTCCATGCTGACTTTTCCCCATCCTTTATGTTCTGTTCTTTCCAGATTATTATGTTAGTTTTAGCGTGGAAATTGGAGGCTGAAAGCATGGGATTTTTTACCAAGGAAGAATGGTTAAAGGGAATGACTTCATTACAGTAAGAAATTTTTTTAAAAAACAAATTTGATGACCTATTTGAAGATCTTAATTGGTATTTTGTGTTTCACAGTTTTCAGGAGTAAGGTTTCACCTTTAAGTCAAATCAGTTTGATCTCTAACAATTAGTTGGGAATTGACAGAATTATATTATGGTTTTAGCAAATGAATAGTAAGCCATGTTTGATATTATTTAAGAAAGAACTTTCTTTTGATAAGTGAAATAGAAGTCAATGATCAAAGACTATTCAAAAGTTGAATAACAATGGCTTTCTCACTGTAAATATAGAATGTCACCATATAAGGAGTTTATTGTTTAATCCTAAACTCAGGGCCTCCTTTCTCCCCTCTTTAACAAATTTAATGGAGCCGGGGATTTAGCTCAGTGGCTCTGCTGCCTGCCTTGCAAGCACAAGGGCCCTAGTTGGATCCCGAGACCAAAAAAAAAAAACAAAACAAAACAAAAAAACAACAACAACAAATTAAAACAAAAATTTAAAGAGTTATATGATACTTCTGTGATTTTAAAAAAATAAGTCTCATGAAGAACAAAAGTAGAAAGTTGTGTAGTGTGTGCAGTCTTTATCATTTTATAGTTGCATCCTTTCAGTTTAAAATGCTTTGACTATTTTAGTAAGTTATACAACTGCTTCTTTATAAAAGTAATTTGATTTTGGCTTTACAGATTAAAACATTTAATTTTAGAATTAGTAATTACTAATTTCATATTATGTCATGTTCCTAATGCTTATTCAGAATGTTACTTGTCAGCATTCTAAAATACAGGAAGCATGAATTTATGATATTTTCAGGGTACATAGTAGGGTTTTATTAGTTATGTGGGTTCTGGTTGTAATTATGCTTTTATTAACACATTTAACTACTCTTAATCCTTGTTTTCCTGTCCTTCAGTTGTTTAAAAAAGTATTTGTTTATAGCACTTAAATTTTTATATTTTAATTTTCAGTATGTAATCTTGTAATTTTCTTTATGAATTAACAGCATTAACATACATTTTATATTTTTTCCTTGGGTAAAAACTTTTTCTCATATAAACCAAATCAAAATTTCTAGAACAGAACATTAAACCAACACTTCCACTTCTATTATTTAAAAGTACAGAGTTTAAAACTCAAAGAAATTAACAAAAAATCTGGGCACAAAGTATACACAGTTCCCTATTGATACAATGAAGATTTAGAATTTAAATTTCCTAATTTCCAGTCTACCATACTGTACTTTTTGACATATTGTTCTTTCATATATAAATCAAAATCTTCATGAAGTAGAAGCCATTATTAGCTTTTTCAATCATAGTATCTGTAACCAAAATTGAATTCTGTCATACATTGAGGAATCATAATATACCAAGTTAAGTACATAGACTCTGAAATTTTGGGGGCTAAATCTTTAGCCTTTCAGAGGAAGATTAAAGCATACAAGGGGATATGCAAAGAATGTAAACTACTTTTTATACAACAGTGTTTTATTAAAGTTGTTATAACATGGCTTATTATAAACAATTTTGACATCATTGTAAGTGCTTTGTTACTTGTGTACTGCTTTTTGGAGTTGTCCCAACTAACAAAAAGTTACTCATAGTTCATGGTTTTTATATAAGTTGATATAAAGGGCCATAATGCAAATGTATTAAAAAATTTCTAATATTTCTGAATGATTAGGATATAATTATGAGTACAGGACCAGAAATTGACTAGCTCATGAACATGTCTTTTATTAGCATACATTTCCTATATGAAGTTTGAAAGCAATACAAAATAAAGCAATTATTCGGTATTTAAAATTGCCCCAGAATTTTACCTTTCACTTATTGTAATCCCTTACCCATCTTCCCAGAGTAGAATACACTAGATCCTTGAAGCTATTCAGATAAAAAGCTTTCTTGGCTGGGAAATGGTTGTTTCTTTCCCATGGTTAGATTGCTATGTGAAGTACAAATTATCTTCCTTAAATGGATTTGTCTTGCTGCTCCCCAAATCTTCTTGTGAAAAACTTGTGAAAAAATAGTTTGAAATGTTATCCAAGAGACAAAATAATTGCTGTGCCTTAATTTTAAATTTGTAGTTACTTAATGTATTTATTTTTATATAATAAAATCATAAAATATAGTCTTACGTTCTTAATTCCTCGTGTATATTTTTCATATTACTAGAATTTAATTTAATTTAGGCATTTGATGGTCTTTAAATCATCTTAAGGTAGTTATCAGTAATTATAATTAATTAATTTTAGCCTTTGGAAAACTTTAGTAGTACTATACTAAGGAATAGAAATAGTCCGGTATTAAAACATACTGTGGTCAAGAAGAGTGGGCTCTTAATTCTCATGATTAATTAATAATCTGTATTGTGTAATCACTTATAGTTTTCAGAATACTTTCAATCGTCCTACACATGTTTTTTCATAAACTATAAATGAATTGTCTTTGCATTTTGCATGAAAGAATTTGTATATTTGAATTTATGTATAAATGCACTATCTCAGCTATTTTTTAAGTTTCAGAGAATGAAATTGCCACATCCTTTTAAATATTTTGTTCCATGTTGTTTTTATTGGTAATAATAGTCAAATTTCCTAGGGACAGAATTTAATTGTACATATATTTATTGGTACAATCTAGGTATACAATACAGTTACATTCATTATTGGGATATTGTACCTTTACATAATAGGTCTTGATTCTCATTTTTTGTACATGTATTTATATTAAACACTCAGGTTGAGTATTGTGCCAGTTAGTAATGATTATAATGAGATGTAAATGCTTGACCTTTAGTCACAGTCTAATAGCTCTGGGAATGCATAATATTATAACCATAAACCCAAGTAGACTAACAAATGTTAGAGAAAAAATGCAAAATACTGGGGGAGCAAAAATACTAATAAAGCTAATTTCAATTGTTTTTATAAATGTGGCTTTTGAACTGGAATTTAGAGTAAATTTTTTTTGGTTGAGTATATGAGAAAATGTTATAGAAGAGAAATTGTGAGCAGAGTCTTGAGAAAGAAAAGCATACATTTGAGGGAAGTAAATGGTTATTAGAATCATAAGGCACATAAAATTGCCAGGGTGGGTTTTAAATTCTAAATAGATTAATGATGACATTGTGGAACATTTTAGCTTACATGTTGAGGGAGTTTAAACCTTATGTTATAGATATTGGGGAAACAAATTTTTGATTACAGGAATTTTCAAAGATTTTGGAGGTACTTTTCAATGAGCAGTGATTCTTAATGTTTCAAGGTCATAGTTTTTTTTGCTGTTTTTTTTTTTTTTCTTTTTTGGTGGAGGGGGTTATTACTGGACATCAAACATAGGGGTGCTGTACTGCTGTGCTACATTCCCAGCATGTTTTATTTGAGGCAGGGTCTCATTAAATTACCCTGCTGACTTTTTGAGAATTTTGTGAGAACTCTGTACTTTGTCCCTATTAAGATGTGTATTTACTGCCATACACAGAATTTTTCATGTTATTGGTAGGTTTTGGATTTTTCTTTTCCTCCATCTTCAGAGTTCCAAGGATACTTGGAAGTTTTTTGCTATAGTGGAAAAGTCCTCACATTTGCTAGCTGAAAGTTTGATGTGAGGCAAGGTCCAAATACTGCCAGGCTGGCAAAGATAATTGTGAGTATAGATGTTGGAAGAGGACTATACTTAATTATGACAATGAAATGAGGAAGCAAGCAGCTGAAATCAGTGATAGTAACTTCAGTTGCCTGCCAGTATAACATCTTTTTCTTTCCTGACCTTCATATTGAGCCCTGAACTTTGAAGATTAAAGAGATTGGCCTGGCTTGATTTTCTTTAAGAAAATCGGAATGGGAAACATTTGCTTCATTTTTTTTTTTTTTTTCTTTTTTGGCAGAGGCAGAAGAGCATGGGTATGCTGTATGACTCATTCATTTGGCATTTCAACCCATCTATTAATTCTCACTAACATTCCTCCTCTTGACTTTTTCTGTATAGTTATCATAACAATTTCAAAATGCCCTCCTTCACATTTCCAAATACACCAAGAGGTAGACTGTAGTTGGTATGCCAGATGTAGAGAAAATTCTGAATCCAGAACTGTGAGAAATTCTTTGTATCTGTGCTACATCCTACTTACTGGACCTACTAATGAGGAAGAGAACCTCACTTAGGTCTGATAAACAAGTGAGACTTTGTTTTCATCTTACAGGTCTTTAATGAAGCAGAAATTCAAAAATCTCCCATAATTACCAGATGTTTAGCGATATGTAGGAAATTAACATCCAAATTTCTAAAGTTGAAATTTAAATTCATTTTGTTCTTATTTTAACCACAGTGGCCTTGAAAAGTGGTATCATATGTCAGTGTTCCCAGAAATGTATATGCCTTTATTTGGTGTTATTCATAATCTCTTGCTCTTATAATGTGCCAGTTAAGAGTATACTGTTCTTCAATTTGAAAGTTCTAAGATGAACATTCTTTAACTATTCAAAGTGTACTTCGTAGCCGAGTGTGGTGGCTCACACACCTGTAATCCCAGCACTCGGGAGGCTGAGGCAGGAGAATCGCTGCAAGTTTGAGATCAGCCTAGGCTATATAGTGAGTTCCAGGTCAGTTTCAACTATATAGTGAGACCCTCTCTCAAAAAAACAAACAAAAAAACAAAGTGACTTAGTGACTAGATTGAATACGTCTTGTGTTGGTGTTAGTGACTGCTTGGGTACTCTCACTGATTTTTCTAGGCCCATTGTCTTTTATGGTAATAGGTGTGGGGCTTTGTACACTTAACTCTTTCTTCTCAAAGACAAAAGCATTGTTATTTGTACTGTGTTCTTTATCTGATTGAGACTTATACACCATTAAGAATGGTAGGACACAGTTTGATCAAAAGTATATAATGTAGGTAATTTTTTTAGTTCATTTGCCTCACAAGGAGCATAGTAAGCTAAGAATTGTGTTAAGCATGTAACACATGTATTCCTTTTATGGTTAGCCTATGAAATTATTAT